CAGTGGTTAGGACTCTGTGCTTTCACTACCAGGGTTCAATCTTTGGCCAGGGAACTAAGATCCTGAAAGTGCAGCCAAAAATAAATAAATGAAGTAAAAAATGATAATCCATTTATCTTATGAATGTGATTATAAGAGTTCTATTGTAAAATAGTTTGCCTTCATTCAGAGGTACAAAAAAAAAAAAGAAGAAAACAGTTATTCTTTTGACAAGTTTGACAAGATCCAAAGATGTATGGAATTACCTCATTTATTTACAGAACATTTCAGAACCCATCATATTCCAGACAGGGCTTCCCTGATAGCTCAGGGGGTAAAGAATCCATCTGCAATGCAGGAGACCCCAGATCAATTCCTGGGTCGGAAAGATCCCCTGGAGAAGGGATAGGCTACCCACTCCAGTATTCTTGGGCCTCCCCTGTGGCTCATCTGGAAACGAATCCGCCTGTAATGCAGGAGATCTGGGTTCGATCCCTGGGTTGGGAAGATCCCCTGGAGAAGAGAAAGGCTACCCACTCCAGTATTCTGGCCTGGAGAAGTCCATGGACTGTATAGTCCATAGGGTGGCAAAGAGTCAGACACAACTGAGTGACTTTCACTTCACTTCACTATTCCAGACACCGTATTAAGTAGTGGAGAAATAAAAACCAGTAAGCATAATTCCTGCCTTCAAAGGTCTATCCAGCTTTGTGGAGAAATATCAAGAAGAACCTTAAAAGTCTCCAAACAAAAAGTTTAATCTTTAAAAATGGAATATTTATGCTGAGTGGAGGTAAGGAGGTTAGAGTTACAAAAGTATACAAAATTATTTAACTGAAGTGAATCTGTTACTTGAGCAACTTGCATTCAGGTCTCCTGTTGCTTACCACAGCATGCAGTAGGAATCTTGGTCCAGTACATTTCAAGACAGAATTTTTTTTAACTCTGCCATCTGAAAGGTCAATATATACTGAGATGTTCTGTGAAGTCTCCTATGCAAAAGTCCTATTGTATTCCAAAGTGTTTCCATATTTTTTCAAGTCACATTTCTAAATCTTTCAATTTTCCAGAGCTTAACTGAGATGAATGATAAAGAGAGTGATGTCTCACAGCTATCGATAAAAACTGGTAAAGGATGCAGAATTTTTGTGGACATGGTAGAAAGATTATACCTCAGAGGAAAGTACCTGAAGACACAGTAATTTAGTGAAATTAGAAGAGAATAACATTAGAAACAAACCTAGAAATAAGCTGGTTCTATGATAAGGCTTATATTAGAAATCAAAAATTATACATTTCCTAGGGAGGCTCCAAGTTTGATTTTTATATGGGAGGGCATGAAATGAGACGGGAATTGATAATGTCAGTTATGATGACAGATTAGACATGAAATACTGGCCTAAAACCTAGCTTTAAATTCTAATTTTTAAATTAAACACACTGCTATCATCACTGTGAAAAATCAAACTCTTCAACAAATGATAGTTACAAAAATTTATCCTATGGGGAAAAGAATGTCATAATTTTAAAAAATATTAACCAATTTTGCCAATTAACTCCTAATAAATTAATCACCTTTCTTTCATCTTCATTATATAATAAACTGAGAAGTACACACACACACACAGAAAAATCTTTTTAACTGAAGTGTGAGCTCAAGTCTTTTAAATTACATGTACATAAAAATTATGCAATAACAGGAACTTATCATTTCCCTCTCTTCCTTCAAATACCACTTTTCCTCAAAATACTATTTTGTATAAGATTTCTTCCTATTGGAGCTGCCACCTTGTTCCATATTGCTACATACAAATCCAAAAACGAAGGAAATTATTACACTCATTTAGAAAAATATCAAGAGAGAACACTGATCTTAGTGGAAGTACACAGTTTAAGCCTGACCTGTGGTCAGTATGAAAATACTAGAAACTACATTAAAGCAAACTTCATTTAGGCAAATTATACATTTTAAATACTTGTATCCCCAAAATCTGATTATGCCACAAAACTAACCAAGCCCTGCCTGGGTAGTGGAAAATGAAAGATGACTTACTTTCTCACATCACTATAATGACATGTCGCATTATGTCATACGAGAATACAGTGATTTATAAAATAACAGTAATATTATAATATGATGTATGATACCATAGAGGGGAAAAGAGTAGAAATAATCAATCATAAAGGTCTACTCAAAAGTGAAATCTGTGAAAAACACACATGAATGGATCTATATAGTTTCAGATTGATGTGGATTACAGATGATTCTATACATTACACTATATTGACTTCAAACGGGTAAGGGAAAACAGCTCTGAGCAGCTCCTTAGTTTAAATAAAGGAGGAGCAGATAGGGCAGCTGCAGTGATAAGCTTAACCAGTAGTCTTTTAACTATTTTAATGGCTCTTCCCATTTATACTTGCAGGCAAGAAAAACTGAACATGCTCAACAGTTACAGCAACCCACAAACACCAATTTCAAAAACCATTATAGGTATTAACTGGCTCCTACTGGCATAGTATGCCTGTGAATGATACAAAAAGTTTTGTACTACTATTAACCGTACTTATCTATGTCACCACAAAACAGGATTAGGTCTTCAATGCAGAAGATTCTTATTAATTCTCCTTGAAATATTTCACACAATTTACCCTCATACAAATTGCCCAGAAATGGAAAAATAAGACGAAAGTGAATCACTATTAGGTTTGAGAATGGCAGTTGGATTTCTCAGTACTGTGCTTTATACCTATGTTTCTCAAAGAGGAACACTCTATGTGTGGATGATTAATAAAGGCTATATTTATTGAGCACAGTACCACACAATGTGATGAATTCTTTGCATGTACTGTCTCAATTAATCCTTAATTTTAACAACTAGCCCCATCTTAAATGAAGAGTCATAGATAAATAATTTACCCAAGAAGTGGCAAAGGGTAGATTTGAACCCAGAGCCTAGAACCAAAGTAACAGGAAAGAAAGTGAAGCTGTTGAGAGAGAGAGCACAGAAAAATTAACTTCTATGTAGAAAGGCATACTGTTTATTGGGGGCATTTAGTTTCTCTTAATACTCTGTAATAGCAGTTTTTAATACTGGGTACCTACTTGAGTCACTTGTGAAACTTTTTAAACAAACTAGGACCTCACTCAGATACTTGACTTTCACTGGGGCAATGACAAAAACTCCCCAAGTGGTTCTAATGGGCAATTAAGATTGGGAACCACTAATAATTCTCTCCTACTCTGTTAACCTCTGTAAGTAGCGAACTAAAATCAAATTTACTAATCACCTATTCGGTTCTGAGCTCTCTGACTTTTCCATCATGCCCAACAATGTACTTAGCTTTTCTTTTACTCAAACAAAAGAAACATTATAACTATAGCTGCACCTTTTAACATAAAATTTTCCCAGCTTTTCTTTGATATGAGGAATTTACGGAAATTAAGGTGAACAGATACCATGACGAAGTTTGAAAACCAATCTTTAAGCACTCCTTAGGTTTAAAAGAATGCATTAAGGTTCAAATAGTCAAACAAAACAAATGGCAGGCTCTGAGATATAAACATTTCTGTGATATATGTTAAAAAGATTTAATATCCCATAGTATTTGGCTATATGTCTTAATTATGCTAGTGATGACACTTAATTATGCTAGTGATGACACTTAAAATACTAAGTAACTGTTAGTACAGTGATAAATTTTATTGTCTTCTCACGGCACTGTGACAGAGATAATGCAGTGTTTTTATACTAAGTCACCAGAATATAAACTAACAGGTGCTAAAGAAATCAAAGCATTATATAAGCACACCAAAACAACAATATGGCTGGTCACATCATGTTTTGAGACATGCAAGGATTTTGCTGACCGTCTTATATGAGAAGTCCTACTATTTCACTAAAAGTTATTCACTGCACATCCCACTCACCCTAAGCCAAAAATAAAATATAAAGTGTTCCAGGCAATTTCAAACTTACTGGCCCTTTGTGTCTTACTAAAAAGGTGAAGTGGCGAGATGTCTGACAAGCATGAAGTTGACCTAGGATTTGAACAGAGATCTAAAATGAAAAGGGATAAATTCTTCAACTTGTACAAAACTCTGAACTTCTCAGACAAACATTACAAAACTTCCTGCTTCCGGACAGCTCATTATTTGGTTCAAGTCTTCACATTCCTTTATTAGTCATGACCTTTCAGAAAGTGCTCCTTCCTTATTGTTTGAATAATATCAGGCTTTTAAAATGTTGCCAACTGAACTTACAGGAACCCTTATCAAATGAAGAAGCCATCCCAGAGTTCGTGCCCCAAGGAAGGCTTTAGATTACAGAGAACCCTGAGTAACCTGAGCAATGTGTGCCCATCACGTAGATTTTAAATTATGTGTAAACATACATCATTCTGCATCTTAAATACATATGTTCATCCATACATTTTTTTATCATATACAATTACAGGAACTTGCATTAGTTCCGCAGAAACTGACTCTGCAAGAAACTGGGAAGACTTGTGGGTATGAGTGAAACAGACACGACGACCGAGAACCACTCATTACTGATCGTCGCCAGGGTCTCACCCGGCCCAGGTCCGGTCTCTAAGCCATATGTCACTAGGCTCAAAGGCACAAACGAGCAAAGAGAACCACAGGGAAAATGGGTGAGAAAACTGTGGGAGGCACCTGAGAAATACGTGTATTTCCACCCCGAAGCTGAAGGGGTGGCCGGAAGGGTAGACCCTAAAGAATAACCTTCCTCCTGGGATCCGTCAGAGCGCCCAGGCCCGTGGGGCCTGCTAACAGGAGTTGGGGGGGCGGGGGGGGGACGGACGCAGGACAGCGTTTGTCCCCACTCCGGAGTCAGAAACAAATGAAAATAAAGCAAGTTCTCACTTCCTGGTCTCCTACTCTTCCCGAAGGCCTCAGACACTCGACGGACACCGGGGAGAGAAGGCCCCGGCGGAGTAAGAGGCCCACCCCAGCCCTGCACCTCCCGTCCTCGCCCTCGCCCTCCACCGGGCCTTACACTGTGACGTGACCGGAGCCGCGGACCACCACCGGGTCCGGCGAGTACTTGAGCAGCTGCTCTTCCAGGGCCCGCTCCTCGTCCTCCTCCTCCTCATAGATCTCGTCGAAATCCGCCATCCTGAGACTCCGAGACCCCCAGCCCGAAGGGGCCTGTCCAGAGGCTGAGGCCGAGATACGGGCTGGCGAGGCGGCGAAGGCTGAGGGGAGTCGCTGCCGCGGGCTCCGAGGCCGCGGAGTTCGTTCTGTGCAGTCTCAGCTTCGGCTACAGAGGAGATGGGGTCCTGGCCGTCGGCAGCGCCGCCGCCATTACCGTCAGCAATAACAACAACACAATGTCAACATCCGCCCAAGGGCCGACACCTCCACCAGCACTGCCGCCACCGCCGCAGCAGCAACTCAGGCAACCACAGCAACAGCCAGAGCCTCCCGCAGCGGGAGCACTCGGCTACGACATCGCGAGACTTCCCGGGAGTGCAGGCTGGCGGGTGAGCGGGCGCGTGGGCGCGAGAGCGCGAGAGCGCGCGGGCTGGCGAGCGGGAGCGCGCACGTCAGGCCTCGCGCGCTTCCCCAGGTCGCTTTCCTCCTCTTGCACCCGCGGTCTATTCCTGGAGCGCGCTCCCGCCGGCGCGGCGCCGCCCTCCAGGAGAAGAGTCGCTGATGCTTTAAGGAGAATTTCTCTGGAAAGTGGTGGCTTTGACCCCAACCCAAAGAACCGAGTTCTGAGTGTCAAGTGGGGCACTTGGTTCCCCAGAGTAATCTCTAACCAAAACAACTAAAAATAAAAGCCCTACTTTGAAGTAGAGAATTTATTGTGCATGTGATTGCCGGTTTATCCAATAATCGAATCTCACTTTTCGTCAGGTTTTTTAGTCTGTGATGAGAACCAGAGTCTGTACGTTTCCAATTTGAGGAACCCAACAGACACAGCGCAAATATGTTTGCCCACTGTAATACAGGATTTTTCAAAATATGTCCAAGTTCAAACATCTTGTCCCATCGTCCCTTTAAATATAGTCCAATAGATGAGGCCAGTGATGCTGACACATTTTTTTTCTTACGAGAAAACTCATTGTAGTCAGGCCATGACAAAATTAACAAACCCTGGATTCCAGATAAGAAGATGCAATTGCCTCCCTCAACTTCTTCACCAGCCATGACCTCATTTTTCCTTTAAGAACTTAGGGAATCCCTTTCCCTTCCTTCCAGCTCCTCCCAGGAAAGGAAAGGTGAAGGGAGGAGAGAGGAGGCAGAATTTAGTGGATTCCTTTCACCTGCCTAGATCATCACTAAAGGCCCAAGGTTCACTCTGGGTACTTGGTTGTATTCATACTCAAGAACCTGCCCAGGCAAACAAACCGTTCAGGGACAGGAGTGGGCTCCTGAGAGAGTCCAGGATAAGGAATATATACTGGCAGCAGGAAAGGATAGTCACACCGGACCTGGTGCTGGTCAGAATATTCTCCCAAGTACAGTGTTCACTTCCTACCAGTTTAGATGATTCGTTGTTGAGTTGATAAAGTGCAAAGGCGGGCAAAGGGCAAGTGAGACATGCCACAGAACCTCCTACTAGTAATGGTTGAAAAAAAACGAACATAGTTAGCCAAGACAAGATGAAAGAAAAACATAGTAGATGGAATCAGACTTGCTATGTGTCTCTCCTGAGGACATTTATTCGTTCAACAGATACGTACTGAGCACCAACCATGTGGCAGGCACGGTGGTGGGGGGGGTGTGATGAGGTATAGTTTCTGCCTTCTAGTAGCTCATTTATCACCAAGGCAAGCAATCATAACCCTGCTGAGTGCTCCCAGAGGAGTACAGAGAGCGTGGTAAGAAAGCACAGAGGAGGGAGCTTGCTTTGGTGATTAACTCCCTGCCTGACTGCCTGGCTTTGAATTCAGCTCTGTCACTTACAGTGTGACCCTGGACCAGTTTTAACTTCTCTGCTCCTCATGTGTAAAATGAGGATAATAGTACTACCCCACTGGGCTCTCTGCAGATTAAATAAGTCACTACCTGTGAAATGCTTAGAAGAAAGCCTTGCACATAGTAAACATTGGGTGGCAAGAGGGTATCTCTATGGTCCCATCCAAGTAGTTAACTCTCTGGGGATCAGCTCAGTTTTTTTGCATTATGTAATGCTTTACTGTTTATGAAGCACATATATCATTAACATTCCCCCAGAACTGTGCGAGGCAACCAAGGTTGTAACTTACTCCTCAGCTTCAGAGATGCTACGTGACTGCCTTATAGCCAAATAACTATTTAAGAGTCAAATTCAGGGCTTCAATTCAGTGCACTGGGCAGGCCAAGCTCCTGAATTTCCTTCTTGGTAGGAACTAGAAGGCCAAGTGGCTGCACTCAGTTAAAGGATTGATAGCAAATAGGAGAGTGAGCAGAGGGAACCAGAGGAAGAAAGGTCAGTACGTCCCACACATGGCCCACACCCTGTGTACTGTGACTGAGAATTCACCTTTCTGTAGAAATAGTGGTCAAGATAAGGGGCCGATGCTCCAAAATGTCTAAATTATCACATAGCTGACAACTTCCCAAGGGCAGGGGAAGTCACATACAGCACTTTGCAGCTCCTGCTTCAAAGAAGGGGCTCAATAAATGTTATCTGAATTGAGATGCATTGTTACTGGTGCTATTTCCAGAACATCATGAGTTCATGAGGCTTCGCAGGACTGTAAGAACCTCACCCTTATCTAACAGTGGTTCTGTGTGGGAGAAATGTTCTTTATTCTAAGATCTATGCAGCAGAGAGAACTTTCTAACTCCCACTACCTCAGTGTAAGGTGGGGGCTACCTTATTTTTGCTCTTCCTATTTTGCACTTCTTTGTCCTATTCTGAAAAACCTGTCAGAGCTAGCAAAAGGATATGGGGCCTGGCAACAATGCCAAGAGGGTGAGGGAAAATGAGTCAAACGTTTCCCTGATGATGGTTGACATCATAATCCCAAATTCCACCTCCAGCCCTCCAGGGTCCAACTTCCTGTCACATGCCTTCCCCAGTCTCTTCCTGGGGACAAATCTCCCTTCTTAGTGTATTTTCCCTCACTGTTTATATGCTCTCCTGCACTCTGCAGTATGGACTCATTCCATTTGAGTTCCCCTTTCGATCCCTGCTTCACACCCTTTCACACTTACCTTCACCCCAAATGGTTCAAAGCCAAACAAGATAATGCCTTGGGGTTGTCAGGAGGCAACAGATCTGCAGTTGCTTTTAAGGCAAATATTCCTAGATTTGAAAGCTTCCAAATTTTCACATTACCTAGCTGAGTGGTCTTGGGCAGTTTCAAATTTCTTTCTTTTTTAAAAAATTTATTTAGGTTTGGTTGTGCCGGTCTTCATTGCTACACGGGGGTTTTCTCTAGTTGCAGAGAGTGGGAGCTACTCTTCATTGTGGTGCATGAGCTTCTCATGAAAGTGGCTTTTCTTGTTGTGGAGCACAGGCCCTAGATGCATAGGCTTCAGTAGTTGCAGCATGCTGGCTCACTACTTGCAGCTCTTAGAGTCTAGAGTGTGGGCTTAGTTGCTCTGCAACATGTGGAATCTTCCCAGACCAGGGATTGAACCTGTGTCCCCTGCATTGGCAGGCAGATTCTTATCCACTGCACCACCAGGGAAATCCTCACAATATGAGGACTTTGAATAGAACTATTGGGAACAGGGGGACCTATTTTCTATGATCTACTAGGAACCATGTCATTCTTATGGTAGAAATAGTCTAAGAATGATGCCAGCACTGAGGAAAGCAGAACCAAGGGATGAAGCAAACATGACTCTTCCTAATGATAATGTCCTGGGTCCCCTGAGTTCAGCTACACTTAAAATCTCCCAGGTTTGTAGGAGATGATAATGGATTTAGTTTGTGAAATATGAGACACCCAGTGGAGATGTCCAGTAGAACATAGTTGGATAGACAGAGATATTAGATAGATGGATAGATGTATATGTAGATAAATGAAGAGGTAGATAAAACAGAGAGAGGAAAGGAGAAAGAATGAGTTGGGGGAGAGGCTCAAAGGATAAATCTTGGTAAAAAATAAATACATGGGGATCCATCAACTCGTAGATGGTAAAGTTAGCCATAGTAGTGACCAGGATGGCTCAGAAGCCAAGAGGTGAGGTGGCTGGGAGACAGTGAAGATAAGAGGATGTAGGATGAAGGAATTTCAGTGAGCAGAAATGGGGAGAGGAGGAAAAACTGACAAAGGAAATTGAGAGAGCCTAACCAAAGTTGTATAAAAGGCAACTCGGAGAGTGTGCTGTTTCAAGTAAAGGAAGAGAAAAGTCAAAGAAGAAAGTAGTAACTGTTCAAATGAGATGCTGCAAAAATAAGGTAAGATAGCAACCAGTGTCAGCTGTATTCAAGAGAACAGAAAATCCTGCGAAAGGACTTAATTTCTGTAAGTAGCATTTTGACAGACAGAGCCAACACAAAACCCCTTGGTTACATATAAGTGTTAAAAAAAAAAAAAAACAGGAATAAAGGGAAGCATAACTCTCCACTCCTTAAGTGTGGACCATACATAGTAACTTCCTTCCAAAGAAAAGGGAGGGAAGACTAACTCTACAGTGGTGACACTGACAAACATTGTTTAAACCAGCTAATCAAAAAAAAAAAAAAAAACCAGCTAATCAAGGTCAACATCATGTTGACCATAAATTACACTGATAGTATGTGCCTTTTTATGATATGATGAAAATAGCACTGAACCTTTCTGATCTTGCTCCCCCAAATCCATGACCCCATTCTAATAAAAGAAAAACACTAGACAAATTCCAATAGTGGGGCATCCTACAAGATCCTACAAGAATGGTACTCCTGAGACTGCCAAGGTCATCAAAAACAAGGAAAGTTTGAGAAACTGTCACAGCCAAGGGGAGTCTATGGAGACATGACAAATAAATGTTATATGGCATGCTGGATGGGATTCTGGGACAGGAAAAGGTAAAAACTAGGAAGATCTGAATAAACTATAGACTTTAATTAATAATAGTGTATCAATGTTGCCTCATTATTTTTAGCAAACATACTGTAAGATGTTAATAATAAAGAAAACTGCATGCAGGAGTGTAGGGAACATTTTGTATTATAGTCTCAATTTCCC